GATCCTTTGGCTCGTTAAATGCATAAATAACCAGGATACAAAGAGGGGACCAAAAAGAGCAGAGCAGCAGAGGAAGGGAAGAGGCAGAGGACGAGGAAGAGGAAGAGGAAGGAGGCACGCACTCCTGTGTCTCTGCCACTGAATTATGAATTTTGCAGCACAAATACGGGCATTTCTCATATCACAAGCACTGATAGCAGTCACTGGACTACACTGAAAACTAACAAAAATGTTTCAAAACTTTCAACATTTTTTTATTATTTTTTTAATAATTACAGTTTACACTAAAACTGTTAGTTTAATTGATTAAACAATTTAATTTAAATAGTATTTTATTATACTTTGATCCATTTTAATATGAACAATTAAATAATCGTAAAAATGTATATACCTTAATAATAAAATAAAATAATATATAAAAAAAACAATACCTAGTTCTATAAAGCACTTATAGAAATAATATGAATTTAACAATTTTCTAGGGTTTTAAAAGGCATACATATTTTCGAGTGGCTTTGCAGTAGTTTTAGCTTTCTCTCCGTGCATGTATACAGTCTTTGGCTGAATACAATGACCTGGCCATCGGCTTGCAGTTCGCTTTAAAGCCGGCAGCCAAGCCTCTTAGGGGCGCCACATACAAACAGTTTAGAGTTGGGGCAAAGGCACTCCGTGGAGTTGGGCCCGCTGTCTCCACTGTCTCCGCTGCACTGCAGTCAATAAAAATAAATGTCATAAGGAGGAGCTTAGGCGACAAATGCATCAGTGTGCAAATAGACCAGCTCCTGTCCACTTTCCAGGCTTTGAGCTGGCAAACAAACAGACAAAGAGCCATCGAACAACTGGATGCCAATGAAAAAGCACTCGCCTGACATTTGCTGTTTGGCCAGCTGGACAAGGGAGTGGTGTATATCTTTCGGGTTCCTTTGGATAGAAGAAGTCAATTTCGTATGCAACGACTAATCAAGCCGTTGCCACTTTAATGCAAACTCAATTTGCACCGGCAGTAAGAAAGGTGTCGCAGTCTTATGTATACCGCATCGCCAGCTGAAGCAGAAGCAGAAGCAGCAATCATAATCATCAGGCCTTTCCTGAGGAGCCTCTATACATACTAATGATGTGCATGCCACACGAGGCTGATTTAATTTCCTTTCCACCTGCAGCACACACACCGCTACACATGCAACGGACACCACCGCAAGTCTCAACACTTACAGGAGCCGCAAAAGTCAACACGAGGAGAGAACGGAGCGAAACTTTTCCGAGCACATATATCGAGCTACTTACACTAGGAAAAAGATTTGGGAAAACTCGATTATATCACTCTTATTTTTATTAAATTTTCCTAGAATTGTTAAAAAATTAATCAACCTTTTGAAGTAAAAAGTAAAATATTGCCTGAAGGAAAATACTAAAAAAGAAAAGTATTCATTAATTAGAGTTCTTAACTTCATTATCATTTTACTAATATTTTTTTAATGATTGTCAACAACTACTTTTAGAAATTATAAAACAAATATTATTTTTTTATTTTATTTTATTATTGTTTTTTTTTTTTTAATAGTAAGTTCTTAAAAATGTTTCGAAACTATATGCTTAGTGTAAGTATGTGCGAGTTTGGGGGTTTTGCATCAAACTTTAACATAAACTTGGATGTCGCTTCCGTTTCCGCTGCAAGAGAGCTGCAGACGATGACAAGCGCCCATTCCATCCATACACACACACACCCGCTAAATGTTCTTCTCTTAAGTTTAGCATGATGGTGTAAGTGTGAGTGCTGCGGTTTGTAGGTGTGTTGGTGTGTTCGGGCGCCTTGTAACTGTAGGCAGCCATCATTTTTGTTGCTGCTGTAATCCAGCATAAAAAATGAATTATGTGCACATGCATTTCTTATGTGCTCGCAGCCGCACTCTTATTACTTCCTCTCTGCAAAAAGGCTCACCTCGTGGTAATGCCCCACCACCCCGTCGCTTCCGTGTAAGCTGTTGAGTAATGAGCAAATGAAATCCCCTCGCTTATCTCTGCGCGTCTTTGTGGCCGCTTTGTGTGTGTCTCAGCAACCTACTTATGGCCTAAGCCGTGCTTAGTTCCCCAATACCATTCGCAGACTCATTCGCAAATCACATTTTTCGCTTTTGATAAGTCTCAGCGATTGGAGCGCATAACTTTTATATAGATTCCGTCTATAGCTCGCATTACTGTCACAATTATCCAGATAAAGGCCGACGTGTAATGTCGCCGCCGCCTTGACAAATCGTTTCGAATATGAATGCTATTAGTTGGCCGGGGCAATCCACTATTAATGGCCTATAAGAAATCAATAAGCCAGCGTTAAATCATCGGCAATCATAGCTCAAAATAGCAGGCACCAAAAAAAAGAGGAGAAGCCCCCGAGAGCGCTGGCCATTAACAAATGTTTTCTTCCCCACAAAAATCGGGGCACGGGAATGTCTTTTCACTTCGGTCCGTATTCATAGAAAGCCATACAATATGCCTAATGCAAGGCCATAAAAATATCGGTGCGGCCCCACTGCGTATGAGTAATAATGCTGGAAAACTAATTTAGAGGCTTTTAGTCTCCATTTAGAGCATTTCCATACATTTCCATATATAGTCGCTTGTTGAAAAGGATACAGATATAGGATATATATATACGTGTGGATTTTCACACATTCACCAAACACCAAAGAGTATGATGCGCAAAACTAAATGAAAATCGAAACAATTTTTGTGCGATTTTCGCGTGGCCATTTTTTAGTATTTTAGCATTTTTGTGTGGACACTCAAGCGTATGAGCCGCAGTCAACTTTTGACAAGAAAAACTGCTCTCAAAATCAATAAATCACGTTAGATCACAATGGGCGAGTGCGGAGGGGCTTAGATTGGGGCTAAGCCGAAACTAAAACCCACCGATTTGTGCGAAATATCGGGGAATCGGGGCGGCAGGGCAACATATTGTTTCAATATTTGAATTCAATTTAATGGCAGCTAATTGAAAAAACACAACCGGCAGTGTGGCAACAATAATGCAGTGCCCGAGTTTGTCCAGCGATTGGGTCACATTCATTTTTTCATCTCCCTTTTTTTTGCTTTTGACCTCTGCTTTTCTGCAACAATGGCAACGGTTTTTTGCCAATTGGCCATTGAACACGCTCCACTGGGTCATCATGGCATCACTGGCAAACTGGCACCAGTTGCCATCACGTGTTTGTCCCTATCCCGGGAGTTGAGTTATTTGCACGTTTTGATAAGTGGACTTAACAACAGCCGGCGGAGGGGTGAAAACGCTTTTGAGCGGGTGAAAAGCATCGGCATCAGGCCGAAAAAAGATATACGATTTTTTGCAGCTCCTCCTTTCGCTCTGCTGGCCACGATGCATTTTGCATTTCACAATTCGCATGGAAAATGTAAATTCATATTAGCCCATAAATGACAAAAATGTTTATGTTGATAGCCATTCGGCTGTTCATGGCCTTAAAATGGAATATTGGGGTAATAAAACGGAAATCGCAGTGAAATCCTTCACAGCGATGACGAAGTAAGTGGATAATGGTTTTATTTGCCTAATGAATTGCAAGCTCAGAAATGGTTCTCAAAATATTGAATTAAATCTAAAGAGTTAAAAATAAATAATGCAATTTTATTTATAATTTTCTCTCTCTCTCTCTCTCTGGCTTAGATATGTAAAATAAAGTATTTTATAATGACAAATAAGCTCGTGAAAAAGTGGCAAAAACGAGCCAAAATTTTAATGATATTTAAATGGCATTTTGTTAATATTTAATTATTTTTAGCTATAGCTATCGGTAATCATGGACCACAAATGAATCAGAGTAATTTGAAAATTTATGCAACCCTTATCATATGTACTAGACTTAGTTGCGTTGTTGGGCTATTAGCTAATTTGTTATTGATTTATCATTTGAATTTATTTCATTATTCGTTGGCTAGCCGCAGTTGCATGCTAATTTGCAATCGTTGTCGCACCGAGGATAATTTGCGTGGCGCCAGGATAACCAGGACAACCAGGATAGCCGTGACAGTATCAGTAATTGACTACACCTGATATGATCTTCCACCGGGCCATGGATTTGGGATAGACAGATGGGCGGACACATATAAACATGATAATAAACGTGACCATGTTGGGGCGCCTTAAATTATGCAATATGACAGCGTGAGATATTGAAAGACTTTTTCAACCTTACCTATCCTCCGTTGTTGCCCAAAACTGTTGCTATTTGGAAATCGCCCAAAACGTGACCAGAAATTAAATTGTAGCACATTTGGAGCTTTATAAAAATTCCACAAAAATGAAAAATAAATCCCCAAAAAGAGCCGCAGCGCACACAGTAAAGGAGAAAAAAAGCACAAAATAAATAAGAAAGCAAACCTTGCACACAAAAAATATGTCGCACTCTGAGTAAGGGAAATTGACAGGGCCAGTGCTTTGGTTCAAATTGCGAGTCCTGGCCAAAAAATACGTTTTAATAAATTTTATGCACGCGGCCTTTTCAAACAATAACTATGCAGGTGATGTCCGACATTCGTCAAAAGGAAAATAATTTGTGAGAAACACCCACATCCTGTCCCGTTCCCCGTCCTCTTCCTTCATCCTCCCAAAAGGACACGCTTCAGCGCATAAATTGCTAATATTGTTGAGTGCGTACACACAGCCACACGTCATGGGATGGGATGGGAACTGCATTAGATGCCATCAAACGGTTTTGTTGTCCACTGCCTTCAGAAGGAGCTTTTCTATTTTCCTTGCTCCACTTTTCTTGAAACGCCAAACTCGAAATTGTAAAAAAAACGGTATACCAGCAGCAAAGCAGTCCAAATACCCTTAAAAATATTGAGCTGGTAGGAATATTTCAGTAAAATGTAAAAATGTTTTAAAGTAAAATAGGGGTTTTAAATTAATAAATTAAAATCCAAACTTTTATCCTTGATTTATAAAAAATACAAAACTAAAATATCTCATCCTTTAAGATCGTTAATTTCCTCTAATCTATTTATTCAAAAATAAACTGAAGCTTTATGTCTTCAATTTCGAGGGAAACCAAGTTCCCGTTTTCAGCTAGAGCATAACAAGCAGTGAAAACTCATAAGCGCAACTTGTGTGCAGTGAAGTGTAAAATGTACTCTGCAATTTTCTTTTGTAGCAACATATTTTCTCGCTCTCCAGTGGAGCCGTAGAATTGCCTTTTCAGTCGGGCTCGTTGCGCTAAAATGATTACTACGTTTTTTGCCCGTGTCGAAGCTGCGATGGACATGCGTGGTGCTCGTGCCTCCGCATAATTAAGTTCGCGTTGAGCCTTTGAAAGCATTATAAGGGGCACATAGAGAAGGGATTAGGGATCTCCTCCGGTCATCCCTATTGGGTATACATGGTGCGGAGAAGAGCGAAGAACTTGTATGATATTTGAAGCAGCTAAAAAACGCCATTTAAATATAAGCTCATAGATTAACTGGCCTTACATACATCTGTCATGGTGGACCTGGTTATATCCAAAAAGATAGTGGCCTTCAGAAAGGTTACTTTCTGCGCTCGAGCCATGATAATGACCAGGGCTCGCTTATAGCGGACATCGGCGTGATTCCAGTCCTGGTTGTAAGTGGCCAGCGATAACCCATAGCTCTTTGAAAATATATTATTTTCGGGGACTTTTTTCTTATTTTTAAGTAAAACTTACCGCATCAGCCACCATCTGCCCATAGTGACATATCAAGTAAACCTGGCTCATCGACGAGAAGAGGAACAGGAACAACTTTATAACCACATCGGGTGGAACTCCAACAGTCATCTGGAATCCCACGAAGCAGATGACGAACGAGGATACCATAAAGTTGAGTAGTAGTGGAATCCCGAATATATCATTGACCACATCCGAAAGACGAAGGATCCGTTCGTGATACCTCACAGTATTCGCCAGGAATTGCGAGTCCTCTTGCCAATTTCCACTCAGCTTTTGGTCCTCCATAGTCATTGAGAGATAGTCGAAGTGCATTATCAACTGAGTGGCCACTGCACAGAGTAACAAATCCGTGGAAATTTGCCCGGCAGCAGCAGTATATCCTGCAAAATTCTGCGAGAAGAGCAGTGGGTAATAGGACCACCTGTCCTGCCACTTCCAAGGAATGTACATGAGGTATGGCAAGTTTTTTCCCACCACCCGAATGTTAAGCCACTTCTCGTAGACCCAATATTCCATTATGCAAAACAAGTTAAAGGTCCAGATAAGAACTGAGTATAGCGATGAATAGATCAGGCTGATCCTCGAGCAGGAGCCTATGTACTTCGAAAGGTTGTACTTGTCCTCCTGAACTTTACCCCTTGGGTAGACCTCCTCCAACTCCTCCATCATTTCAGTTATGGCCGCCTTCTTCCAGCGGATGAAGAACATCTTGCTCAGGCCCACGATGTCGAAGCCAATATAAGACATCACGGTTACGGCCTCCAGAAGTTTATTCTCCTTATAGGCGCCGTATACGTAAATGCTCTCACATATTCCAACGACGGTCAAGTTGATCACATTGGCCCAAAATACAATGCTGGCTCTGAGCATGTCCTTTGGCGAATCTCCTCTTTTCGAATAGGGCTGTATGCCCACTCCGGTGTAAAAGAAGCTGGCGTACTTCATTAACTTTTTCATCTTTGATTTTAACGTTGCTGAGCCTGAGAATGGTCCTCTCTGAATGAATTTGCTGATGAAGGTTCCTTGGATTTATAGCCTTTGTCAAACAGCTAATATGCAATTCATCCATTGAAATGCGACAAGTATAATATTGCAGGTGAAGGTTATGTGGAAAGGGATAAGGTTGACGAAAAGGATTGCGTGTTTGGTAGAATTAACAGCTGCATTGGTTCAAGGTGATTCCAGACGCTACAGTATAAATTACCTTCGGAAAGATACTTATTAAAATAACCACGTTAAGTTTGGTTTTTTCATTTTCTATGTAATTTTCGCTTTTTAAAAAAACTGCTAACAAAGTTTTAAAATTAAAAAAATGTTTTTAATTTAACGCAATTTTAAAAGATCAATCTCAATCAGCTTATTTCACATACATGGTACGGAGCAGAGCAAAAAATTTATAGGATATCTGAAGAAGCTGAAAAATATCAATATTAATCTGTTAAAATTCTTAAAATCAAGTCAAACTGCATCTTACATCAGTCATAGTGGCCCTAGTTATATTCATGAAGACAGTGGCCTTCAGATGGGTTGTCCTTTGGGGTCGAGCTATAAAGAATACCAGAGCTCGTCGATAGCGAATATCAGCATTATGCCAGTTCTGTTTGTAGGCAGCAATGGAAAGGCCGGAGCTCTAAATGAAGATTGGCCAGGCTTTCATATAAAAATCGAATACTACTTAATAGACCTCATACCGCATCGGCGATCAACTGGCCATAGTGACATATCAAGTACACCTGGCACAATGAGGAGAATAGGAACAAGGAGAGTTTAATCATGATGTCCGGCGGCACACCCACTGTCATCTGGAAACCCACAAAGCAGATGACGAATGTAGAGACCATGAAGTTGAGCAGCAGGGGAATTCCGAATATATCGTTGAGCACGTCCATCAATCGAAGAATGCGCTGGTGATAACGCACGGTTTTCGCCAGGAATCTCGAGTTTTCCGCCCAGTCGCCACTCAACTCTTCGTTTTCCACAGTCCTGGCCAGGTGATCGAAGTGCATGACCACCTGAGTGGCCACTGCACAGAGTAACAGATCCGTGGAGATCTGTCCCGAGGCCGAAGTGTGTCCCGCGAAGTTCTGGCAGAATAGCAACAGATAGTACGACCAGTTGCCCTCCCAGTTCCAGGGAAAGTACATCAGATATGGTAATGTCTGACCGACCACGCGGATCTTGAGCCATTTTTCGTAGACAAGAAACTGCATGATGCTGAACAGATTGAAGGTCCAGATGAGCACAGAGTAGAGCAGCGCATAGGTGATGCTAATCCGGGAACAGGATCTCAAGTAGTTGTCCAACCGATATACCTCCTCTTGAGCCCGGCCCTCGGGATAAATGTGCTCCAGTTCCTTGACCATATCGCTGAGATCGGGTTTCTTCCACCAGATAAAGAACATCTTGCTCATGCCCACAATCACAAATCCGATGTAGGACATCACAGTGACGGCATCGATGAACTTTCCATCGGAAAAGGCCACTCCCAGATAGAGGAATTCGCCGAACACAATGACACTTAAGTTGATCACATTGGCCCAGAAGAGGAGGTTGGACCACAGACTGATTTTCTTGGGCCGAGAGGCCATCGTATACGGCTCAATGCCCACGGATGTGTAAAAGAAAACTGCGTACTTCATGAACTTCATTTTACGACGCTCAACTAATCGAATTATTGCTGGCGGGAGTTCCTTTATAGACCTTTCGCTCAAGGAACACGCAGCATTTGTTATGCCAAGTAATGACATAATTATAGAACTGTTTACAGTTAATGTATGGATTCGGGCTTATAATGCGTCTAATTGAGGTCTTCGTTCACAAACTTAATTATTAATTTCGCTTACATAAACAGTGGATAATTGTTATGCCTAGGCAAACGCAATCACGATTCCAAGTCCCATCCAAGTCCCCATTTCCCAGTCCCCAGTTGCCATTGCCACCCACTCAGCCACCTCATCCTTCTTCGCCATTCTGGGCAACACAATAAATCACTCGAAGATTGAATCCGACGGAAAGCAATTGAAACGTTTGAATAAATGCAATTCGAAAGCGAATCGGAACCAGCGCATCAAACCCAAGTCCAATTCCAATGGGAAGTGGGGTCTTTTTCGCTCGCACTCGAAATAAATTAAATCTTTTCAGTTTTCAACAATCCAGCTTAGCCGAAGTGAGAGTATATAAACAGCGTGAATTACGCGCTCCGAACACGTTAGCCCAATTATGCAGTGAAGTCAGACAATATTAGTATCAGGATCAACTTGAAATTTGCATGTAAAAGCAGACGTAAAATTCTGTTTTATTTTTGGAATAATATACATTAAATTAATACTGATAAATACAGATTAGAAACAAGAAAGTCATGTTTAAACTTATTTCAAACACTATACTCTTGAAGTTAGAAAATTTTGTGAAATTCATAAACACAAGAATAATTGTAAAGAGACAGGTTTGGATTTTAGTTTTAGTTGTTTTTTTAATCGGAACACTTTTGAAATAATGATACATTTTGCTTTTTTTCTAAGACGACTGGTTCCCAAAATTCGTGTTCATGCCTTTATAACTAGAACCCCACTGTATGCAAAAGTCTAGCCGATTAGATACTAAATCCAGCTATGTGCGTGGCCCTACAAAACTATGCCACGCAAATGCAAACACAGCGATTACGACCAAAGAAGGAAGTGGGGGGCGGCGGTGAGAGCCAGAAAGAGATTTTGGGCCAAATTGAAAGACAAAAGCCCTGAAATGTTGCTTCCAGCGCGGACAGCGAATCGCCGAGCCAACAGCGAACCAAGCGGGTCAAAAGCAAACGAACGAATTTTCCATTTTTGCCATTTATCACGCATGGAAATTGAAGGAAGGAATGGAGGCCAGGAGTGGGAGTGGCAGTGGGAAAAGTGGGCGGATGGGCAGATGGGCGGCTCGGACAAGTACAACCTGGAACTTGAAATACAATTAAAGCTCTGGGACCCACTGGCCAGCCGGGCGAAAAAAACTTTTCATGTCTCGAGTCTCGGATCTCAGGTGAAGAGCCATGCAGGGTAACAAGGTTTCCGGTGGCTAGTCCTCCAAATAATGCCCATTCCCATATGCCCATCCCCAAAATATCCACCCACCGGCGGCAAGCCAAAGATTTATATGCACACATACCCCCGAAGTTTACCTGAACTCTCAGGATGGCAGAGGATGTGGATGTGGGCAGCACAAACTTCGTGGAAAAGTTTTATGAGCAGCAAACTAATTTCGTTTGACTTTGCTCCGGGGATGTTGCACCTTGGGTGGGACGACGGGAATTGATTTTGGTCCTGTTGACGCTACCGTTGTTCCTCCTGACGCATTTGCATACGGAAACCAAGAATACTTACTACGAATTATAGGTTGTTGAGCATTCAGAATCTCTATTACCAAAGGACTTTGCTTAATAAAATGAAGGATATAATCACCATTTCGGGTTACATGCAAAAACATATTCTAAATTTAGGCGTAAACATTTTAATTAATTCTATATTAAAAACTGTTTTTCTTATAATACGATGTCTTTTTAATAACAAGTTTTTATCTTTTCTGAAGAACAAGAAGTAGGTGTTACAAAGTAAAGACAATATTAAGTAGAAGAATGTATAAAGTCTAGAAATCTAAATCTAAAATATTATATTTCACCTGTATTGTAGCTGCTTACATTCCACACCATAATAAATTTATATTTGTATAGTTACTGGATATCTTCTACTTGGCTTAAACTGCTGTAAAGTTGCTCTTGATTTTCTTTGAAAAATATATGATATACATTTCCAGTGTTTAAAATGCTGCAGTCGAAGTAGCAAAAGTCACATAATTTTTCATTTTTCTTGCTTCGACTGCCTGTAACTTTTTAATATGAGCTGTTACTTTTGCTGCTGCTTCTGAAAAAGTCGGCAGTCGCAGTCGAAGCAAAAGCAAAATCCGAGCACTAACGACTGTCGAAGCAAAAGCAAGTCGTTGCTTTTTGATTTTTAGCTTCTGCTGTGCTGTTGCTTTCAGTCGGTAGCAACAGTCGAAGCAGCAGCTAGCAAAACTTTCTGTAAGTTGCTATTGCTTGTGCTGCTGCTGTTGAAAAAATTAAAAGTCAAAGCAAAAGCAAAAACAAATTGTGCCTAGAATAATTAGGTTATGTTTAAAGGGGACCGAAAAAAAAATAAATTCGTCACATTTAATAGCTTTTGGTCATCCTTGCTTAAAGAATTCGTGGTATTTTGAGTATTTTTTTTTTAATTTGTTTCTTAGCCAAAAAAACAACAACAGTGAATAGATAGGAGGAAAGTTAGTTTCTTTTGGTGCTAAAAACATGTTCTCAAAAGTTAATTATATGCATACTATGCAACGACTTTATTAAATTGTTGTTGCTTTTTAATGAAAGCAAAAGCAGGCTGCTTAGACTTTTGCTTTTGCTTCGACTGCGACTTCCGATTTTTTCAACAGCAGCAGCAGCAGTCATATCAACTTCCAGAAAGTTTTGCTAGCTGCTATTTCGACTGTTGCTACCGACTGAAAGCAACAGCACAGCAGAAGCTAAAAATCAGAAAGCAACGACTTGCTTTTGCTTCGACAGTCGTTAGTGCTCCGATTTTGCTTTTGCTTCGACTGCGACTGCCGACTTTTTCAGAAGCAGCAGCAAAAGCAAAAGCAGGCTAAATGAAAATTCAGACAGTTTTTTAAACACTGTACATTTCCAAAGACTGTTATAGACCTTAAAACTGGAAAATTGAACATGATAGAGACAAAAAGTATAAAGTAAAAGGCGAACATAATCCATTGTTAATTTTACATTTGCCAACAACTTCCGACCGACAAGTATGTGGCTATCTGGCTGGGATTGCGGCAATTGCCTCTCGGTCTGCTTGGCTGTGCGACATTTGACACATTCACTCCATTGCGAACATGTGCGACTTTGGCCCAAGAAAACAAAAGAGCTCATGGGTTGATATTGGGGTTTTCTGGATGGGAAACGTCTGTTTTGGCACTCGTTCGTTAGCCAAAGCCGCAAAATTTATATTTCGAAGTGAAGTCAGTGCGGTCTTTGGGTGTTGCAAAAGTGGAAAATATAAAATGGGGAGTCTCTTTGGTCAGAAAGTCTGCCCACAGCTATTGATGACCAGGCCAACACACCGGGCTTCGGTTAACCAACTTGTGATCCGGGTGGTGGTGGGTGATCAGGAATGGGAAATAAACAAATGGAAGCAATTAATAAAATAACAACTTTGTGCAAAATTAATTGTGTATTATGCAAAAGGCTTGCTAATGGCAGGATATGCATCAATGCTGGTCCCCATGAAATATTACAGTGACGACAATGTCTCCTCCAGCCACAGATCCTTTCCTTCCCCTTCTCCCGCCCCTTCTCTCCAGGATTCTGCTGTTTCTGTAATGGCCGTGCGCACCAATGAGCAAATGAACAATTTATTACCGCTTAATTGAACACATTTGGACGCAACCGCACACATAGAGGGCCTAAACAAATGGCCACATGCAGGCGGAGAATCCTGAACAGGACCTCCGCATTAAGCAGTGCCCGGGGGTCTCTCGGTATTCCGTATTCGGTTTTCGGATATATCGTGTTTCGGGTTGGTTTGCGGACCAGGATAAATGAGCCCAAGACAAGTCTATAAATGCCTGAGAGAGATGCTGGGCAAGGAGTGGGAGTAGGAGTCCTATGTGGTCGAGCAACTCGATGAAGCCCAAGCTGGAAAATCCCTTCATTGTAGCTCGCTGCATATTAAACGCACGTCTCGCTGGACAAATTGATTCCTAAGTGGCTGCCGGATTGACAGCTCACAAGGTCCTTGTAGTCCATAGTCTACAGTCCATCGTCCATGTGTGTGTACTTGCCCTTTTCCCCGCTGGCAATTTCCACAATTATCCTGCACTCGACCTGCAACCTGCAAGTTGGTCTGCTTGGCACCCGGGCTAATTGCCAATTGAACCCCAAAGAAAGCGGGGCAACTTTAGATTAGCAGCAACAATGGAGACTTTGCCTTTTAAGTGCTTACTTAGCGACACGTCAGAAACAAGGATTTATTTCGGGGGATCCCCAAACACCTCCGGTAAATTAAGTGGGTGCCAGGTCCTGACAGAGTCAAGTATATTTGATATACATGGCACTTCCACCCCGAAAACAACACCCCGCTTAAGCTTAAGGCAAAAACAGGCGAATCACACAAAGCAGCCGCAATTTCGCTAAGCATTTGAGCGGGAAACAGCAGAAGTGACGCACCGACCACAAAGGAGCTGGAGGAGAGGAAGGCAAAGGATCTGGAACAGGACCTCAGCCCATCTGCTTAGGCCTGATACTGAATGAACTACTTAAGCGCTTTTGGCTTTTCAAAATAAGCCATGCCACAGGTAAAAGACAAGAGCCAGCCCAAAAGCAACGGCAGTGGGAGCAGCCACAAACAATAACCAAATATTTTGTATATCCGCTGTTCCGTGTCAACCGCACCGAAAGAGCTTCCCTACACTGGGGGAAAATCAGCATGGAACTGGAATAACAAATGTATGATTAAACCAAAAAATAATAAATATTTTAATCTCGCAATCAAATAAAGTATTGAAAAATCATATCTAAATTTGTCTTGTACAGAGGTGTAATTAAATATTTCAATTTTAAATATATTTTTAAAATAAGTAAACTTCTATTCTAGCATTTTATATTTTACTAGCAATTTGGTGTACTTTTGTTCCACTATTGTACCAATTCAGTCTTTGTACCCAGTTCTTAATAATTTCGAAATTTCTTTATTTGTCTTAGATTTCTATTTTACATTTCTATTAAAATAGATTATAATCCTTGTCTTGTAATATTTTTTTTTGACAAAGCTAATAGGTAAAAGCAATTTAAATTGTATCAAAATATTCGTTTTATATGTGGAATCTCGTGATACTCCATGTAAATGTTTTCCCAGTGCATGCGTAAATGAAAAGAAGCAGGAGCAGGAGCAAAAGGACGCTGGAAATGAATGTCGGAGTGGAAGTGGAACAAGTGCTCAGCCAGAGACATGCACAGATACACTTTATGAACTACAACCGAAATCCAATTGATTGCGCAGGCACCGAGTCTTTGGCAGAGTCTACTCGCTCCTCGAACGCTCGAATGGCAAACAATTTGGCAGGCCAAGTGCTTTGGTTTTGCTAGTCGGCAGTCTGAGTTGATTGTGGCACGAATTGTGGCCTCAGAGGTCGCCACAGGATTCGCAAACGAAAATTTGAGCCACGCGTGGGCGGCAGGCCGCAACGGAGGGATGAACACAAGCCAGGTGGAATCTACGGCTTAGAAGCATAATTTTCAGCCAATTAAATTCCACTCTTGGCAGAAAATGCTGTATTAATGGGGCACATCTAAGAGCACTGGCAATTAATAAGCAAATGATTCGTTGCCACTCTAGCAAAAAGTTTTGTCTTTATTACTACCAAAGTCTCACTAGAACGATTTAACTTTTTGTAGGCACGATAAATCACTCAATTTCCAAAACATACTTTACGTAAATTTAACGGGTAACGGATTTTTGAATATTTTTTGAAGAAACTATTAAACTATTAAACTATTAAAAAAAAAAAACAAAATACATACTATTATTTCTTTTAAAAGTATATTTTTCAAATTTAATTTAAAATTTTATTAAAGCTGTTGTAGTTCTGATATCAAATTAAATAAATAAACTTTTACAAGTTTCCTTATTCGATGTGATAATTATTTATCAACTTTTTTGTATGTTTCCTTACTTTGTCAATTGGCGTTTTTCCTTGATTTCTAACAATTTAAACTTATCTTTAAGCAATCATAATAAAAATTTCTTAAGGGATACTTATAGGGTTAAACAATCAATCAAACAATTTCCCCAAAAGTTTAAACGGACTTTTCTTAGGTTTTAGCCCAGTTCACATGTTTGCGCATTTGAATTGCGCGCCAATGTGCGACTGCCAGAAGCTGAATGCTGCAACACTCGGGTGGTCGGTTTTTTAGCGTGACCGCATGGAGTGTTTTGTTACTTGGTATTTTTGAATAAGTAGAAAAAGTAGATTTCTGAGTGGTCGCTTGTTATTGTTTACCAAACGCAATTCCCCTCGAAATAAAGCAGATAAAATAGTGATTAAAGTCGCGCGGCGACTGGGAAAATGCAGTCGAAGGCCTGTTGAAGGGTGCAGCAGTTGCTGCTCAGTGGCAGCGGACTCAGAAAGTGTTTTCCTCTCCGCCCAACCACTTGTTGTTTTTGGACTCTGCCCGCCGCCCCATATAACACCATCAATTATCCACTATACTCTCGCCCGATTTCGCACCCGATGTCCCGGAATCAAGGCAATCTGGAACAAAGCACTCACATCGCAACTCCGCATCTCCAGTTCGCCGTCACTCAGCTGTCATACATAATTCTCCCATCGGAACCCGGAATCGTCACAACTCTATAAATCTCAATCGAATCAAACGTTAAACAGCATATTAAACAAAAAGTACTAAGCCATATCTCAAATCAAGTCGATTAGCCAGTGATCACTTTATTGCCGCCTTCAAGTGTCCAGTAGTTGAAGCGTAAGTACCTCTCTGCGGTTCGACAATGCAGATTAGCTGAATTTTTAGTACTGACTACGATTCGTAGCTCTCTGAAAGATTGCGCAAAGATCTCCAAGCTGACCCCGCGGTCAATGGACTGAGACTCATCCATAATTTCAATGCAAATCAGTTGCTATGGTCGAGAGATAATGGGGTAACTCTACACTCTCCACTCTTTCGCTCCGTGGCAGGTGGCTCGATTTTAAGGGCCCTCGAAAAATAATCTAAAGTGGCTTAGGTTAAGGTTAATCTTGATCATAAATGCTATGAAAAAAGTCCCCCTGGGATCCCTAAGTTGGAAAAAACATAGGAAAACTATAATATTTTCATTTAGTTTGCTTGTATGACATGTTTTTTGGTATACATTTAATAATATAGAACTTAATTGTTTAGTTTTTACTGTTTTTTAGAGATAGTAGATAGAAATATCAGTCTTTTTCCCTAAATTTCCTTATCAACCTTACCTAGTACTACCGTTTATGTAGAACCTTTGTTCTTGCTGTTGGCAAATCCCCCGCAGCGGCTAATCTGAAATGTATCTTATCGATAGACAGCAGTAAATTGACACATATACCCGTCGAACAGCTGTAATCCTAGAATATAACCCAACGTTCCAGGTTTTTCGTTTGGGAACCAGTCAGTTCTGGCCTGGCCAGCAGAAGTTGCAGTCCTCCTACCGGGGAATTAAAAAAAAAAAAACATAAAATAAGACAAACCAAAGCTAAATTGGGGAATATTTTCAAGTTCAGTGGAACAACCGATAGCGCCGAAGAAGAACAATAACAGCTTGTTCGCGCGTAGCCCGAAGATAAGATTAAAGGTTAAAAAACGGACTCGGACCCGGACACCCCATACGCAGTGACTAACCATTAGGTTCTACTCGCACAGAATAATTAAAAGTTTTTATTAGCTGAATTTAAATTGCATTTATACGACCAATTAAGAAATGTAAGAAATAAAAGTTCCATATCTTTTGTTGCAACTTCTTATCAAAAACTAGTGACAAATTTATCATTTAGCGATAACTATCTTATCTTGAAGTAAACTTGTATTTATTAACCTTTTTTGCATATAATTTTTTCATATACCTACCAGTCTATAGGTCGAATTATTATATTATTTTTTTAAATATATGTAAATTGCTAATTTATTATTATGTTTGATCTATTTTTATTAAAAATCTTGTATTTCTTTATTAACAGACTGACATTCCAAAATGGCGGGTCAGAGCAAGCTGATCGATCCACTGTGCATAACCTGCAAGGAGTTCCAGCATCCTTGGACGGACCACTGCGTCAGCGCCACCGCCGGAATCCTGCTGTCGGCCACGCCCTACTGCCTGCGCGTCTACACAGTGGTCTACGCCCTGTCCCTGCTGATGCGCCACCGCATTCCTAGTCGAGAGGACCTGCGCAGGACTCTGTTGGGCATCATCCAATCGACAGCCTTCCTGGTGACCAATGCCTACACCTTCATCCTGTACAACTGCGCACTGCGGCACTTGCTGGGCAGCTATCACTTCTCCACGGTGGCCTTTGTGCCCTGCTTTTTCGCCTCCTTCTCTGCCATTCTGGTGGAGCGACCCGCCCGTCGACCTCTGCTCACTCTTTATGTGGCCAACGTGGCCACGGAAACGCTGTGGAAGATGGCCGAGTCGAGGGGCTGGGTGCGTTCCATACCTAATGGACAGACACTCATCTTTGGGCTGAGCATGGCGGCTCTGCTCTACCTCTATCGCACTGGCACCACCAAGGATTCCATCTTCAACATCCTGCGCATGTTCGTGGGCAAGGAGGAGGCCGGACCGGTGGCCAAATCCGGTCCAGTAGTGCCCGGCGAGCAGCCAGCTCCGTCGCGCCGTCGACCCACCGTCAGCTTCTCCAATGCCTCGGACTTTGTGCGCGTCTACAGCAACCTGATCCGCGCCAAGCATGACAGCTGTCGGCACCAGCAGAGCTGCATCGGCTACTCGCTGATCGGAGGAATTAAACCCTTCGTGGGTGGAGTGGCTCTGCAGGTGGCTCTCAAGCTGGTGATGAATGTCAAGCGGATCACGGCTGGAAAGATGGCGTGGAAGAAGCTGGTCTTCAACCGAGGCACTCTGCAACTGGGCATCTTCATGGGCAGCTTCTCCTTCCTGTACAAGGTGAGTGATATAACAAGTTCCAATCAACATATAGTAATCATTTTGCTCTTAACAGTCGGTGTCCTGCCTGCTGCGGCACAGTTTCAACCGAGATGATGCCAGATTTGCCATCCCTGCCGCATTAATTGCCTCTGTGTCCTTTACTCGCTATCCGGATAACACGGTGGCCTTGTACGTCATGTGGAAGGCTTTGCAGGTGCGTTAGTTATATTAGCTTTATATTTTTTACCCGGTCACTTACCTACTTTATCCCCAGATCCTTTGCACCAAGGGACAGGAGCGAGGAATCCTGCCGCACATCCCCAACTTTATGCTCTTCCTGTACTCCTTCTTCACGGCTGTGCTCTTCCATGCGGGAATCCTGGAGCCCAAGAGCCTGCGCCCCAGCTACTACAAGTTTCTGCAGGCCATCTCGGGCGATCGGTGAGCAAAGTTCGCATGCGCTGCGTAAGCAGTAGATTAAGAATCCCTTATCTTTGGCAGACTAAGCAAGTTTAATCTGGGCGCCTTCGATGTTTTCGGCCTGAGCAGTCAGCAACAGGCGTGGGACACCATTAAAGCGTTAAACATTGTGGACAAGTCATCCCTGCCCGCCTACTCCTTTGCCTCTTGAGCCGGTAGTGACAAATTTTAATAGATAATCAATCAGTCGCCTTCGCTAGAGGCCCCCATATATCTCCATATATCCGCGATCTAAAGCGATCTGTATATACGTCAAGAGTCTCCCGCGCTCAAAGAGCGCCCAACGATTACTAATTTAAGCTAGTGTGGGTGAATTGTAAAATATGTTGACCTTTTTTATTTCATGGTATCAATAAAAAATCAGCGAAATATAAATCTAATTTGTAAAAATATTGAATGTGAAAATGGGAACTACCTTAAGATTTTGAAAGCTTTTTCGGAGTAGTCACTTAAGAGACTCTACTAAGTGAGCTTCGCGAAAATGAAATCCCTTGCCCGTGGGAGCTCCAAAAAATTGATAAGAAATCGTCGATGGATTACTCAGCGTAAAACAAAACAAACCATAAATTCCCGATCAGCCACAAATTTTGTCTGGCGTGTGTGCGATAAACAGTTCATAGGAATACCTTATGCAGAAGCATAGGGCGCCCACCTGTTGATTACCAAGCACCTGAGATGTGCGTAAGGTGCGTAAACCCCGTCAGTTGTACTTGGGTTATGGCGAAATTCGAACTACCAGCTATCCGAGAAATAAACCAACGAAAGGTAGTGGAAATCAGCTGTACTGATAGTGGACTGCCTTTGAGTCAAAATCTGCCAAGTGGGCCACCCCTGTTCCGAAGGTCCGATTTTCATCGAACTTTTTTACTTTTCCGGTTCACAACGAAAATATAAGAACTTCATTTGAACGGTTTTGCGAAATTTTGAGTTTTACCGGAGTTATAGGGGTCAAAACATGGCATTTTTGACACTTTTTCGAAAAAGTTGCACTCAGTCATTAATTCATAACTTCGGAACGGTTAGATTTATCTTTATGATGTTTTCACTAATCGCTCAAGAATTATTATGGCTTTCCATAAAAAAATGTAAAAAAAAATTAAAAATTTTTGTTCTTAAAAATAAATCAACATTTTTTTTTAGTTTTTATTTTTTTCAGTGTTCTTCACCAGCTATAGAGTTTAAAACCATTTGAAAATAAAGTTTGATTCATTACGAAAAAGATCCAAAAAAAAAAAAGAGTGGCCCGGCCAAAGGTTTTTCGCAATATCGATTTGAAGAAGGGCGCACAGCGGTTTCCCATACAAAAACGGCTTGCTCGTGAAAACTGGCTGGTCAACACATGCCGTAGCGAGCGTAGCGTCAGCTGTCAATGGGGGACTTTTTGCCGTTTTGTAAAAAAGTTCGATGAAAATCGGACCTTCGGAACAGGGGTGGCCCACTTGGCAGATTTTGACTCCTTTAGATTAAATAACACTTCTGCATATGAATGCAAATAATCTGAACCTCCCGAGTCAACTTAAGGTAGTGAGTTATAGATTAACTGGCTATTTTGTGGGTTCCCCTTGGCTGGCACTTTTCCGGTTACCTCTATCACCCGTCTGCACTCGATAAGTGTAGTTCGCAGAGCCTTAGTCACAGTCGAATATTCAAATTGGATCATGGCGGCACAGAGTAAGCTAGCTGAGGTCGCATTTAATTGCACCTGCCAGGAGTTTATCCATCCTTGGACCAAAAGCTGCGCCTGCGCAACGGCTGGGATGTTACTATCCCTGATCCCTGGCACCTTCCGAACTTATAGTATGGTCTACATGGTGAGTATGTGAGGTGTACCCATTTTATTTGTCGTATAATATCTATAAACCATTCACAGTTGGCCCTTATTATGCGTATGCGCATTCCATCGCTTAAGGATCTAAGAAATACTTTATCCAGTATTCTACAGTCGACGGCTTTTCTCTCCCTGAATGGCAGCCTCTTCATCCTGGCCATTTGTTTGGTTCGCCAATTTCTGGGTGGTTTCTACTTCGGCACGGCAGCCTGGCTTCCAGCTCTGTTGGTCAGCTCTTTATCGCTGGCAGTCGAGCGTCCGGAGCGACGTGCTCCACTGGCCATGTATGTGGCCAATGTGGGAGTCGAGACACTGTGGAAAATGCTGGAGGCCCGTGGCCTGGTGCGATCCATCCCCAACGGTCAGGTGTTCATCATGGGCGTCAGTCTTACCGCTTTTATGTATCTATATCGCGCTGGACTCCACAAGACAGTGGCCAAGGATGCGACGTTTAAGGCATTGGGTTTGATAATGGGCAAGGAGGAGGAGGGACCTTTTAATACTCCGCCAGTGAACAACTCGCAGCGATCCCGCCCTTTGAGGCTAAATATCCGCTGCATCACCTCGCACCTTCAGATATATGACCAAATGATGACCCTCAAACATTCTTGCTGTCCGCACAAAGCGGGATGTGCTTTTTACGCCCTCCTTGGTGGCCTAAAACCCTTCCTAGGTGGTGTGGGTCTTCAAGTGGGCTTAAAGCTCCTGCTCAACATTCCCAAGATCTTGCAGTTTAAGATGCAGTGGCGCCAGCAGATCTTTAACAAGGGGTCCCTGCAGTTGGGTCTAGCGTTGGGAATATTTTCACTGCTCTATAAGGTAAGGAATCAAAAAATTAAACAAATTAATTCCTATTTATAAATAAATAAACCTTTCAGTTAACATCTTGTGGCCTGCGTCACTCATTTGGTTACGACAAAGCTGTATTCGCCATTCCAGCTGGCCTAATAGGATCGATTGGTCTTCTGCACTTTCCCAACACCACGGTGTCCTTGTATCTGATGTGGAAGTCCCTACAGCTACTGTACAACTGGGGTGTCTCCCAGGAAAAGGTTCCCGAGGTTCCGAACTTCTCCTTGATCATGTACGGATTTTTCACGGCCGTCCTCTGCCACTCAACAGTACTGGAGGCACGATCCATGCGGCCGAGCTACTTTAAGTTCATTCAGAACATTTCCGGAGGTCGTCTCAGCCGGTTCAATTTGAAATCCTTCGAGGCTTTTGGAGTACAAAGTCAGGATCAGGCCAACCAAGTGATTAAGAAACTGGGCATTGTTATGAGCTCGCCAAACCCCTTATTTCCCCTTATTGTTTAGGTGTCACTTAATTCCATTTCTTAAGAAAATCAAATCGTATATTGTCAGGATTATTGTAAAATAATGTTCACCAAGTCGCCTTGCAAGAATCATATATGTAAGTCAAGGTAGTTCCCTAGTCACTCACCACGTTACAGCAATGAAATGGTTTTAAAAATAAACAAATAATTATATTTTCACACTAAAAAAGTTTTAGGTAACTGAATCTAATGCCTTGCTGGAGGGTAACAAATTTAAAGATTTTCTAAATATAAATGTAAATCTATTTAATTTTGTTGCTTTAAAGCCGGGTCTTTCGTAAAATGTGATGTGATGTAAAAGTTAAACAAGCAATATTTTTATTGAAAATTGAAATTTCTGCATATATTACTTGTTAAAAATGTTTGTTAAATTTAATAAAATCATCATAATTTTATAAGTGAAACTCCATACCTTTTCATGATTTAAATTTAGACGGATTTTAATAACGATAACCTAGTTATATAAAATTGTAAGTAAATTTGTTTCTCTTGCACTGGATAGAGTATGGCTTCTTAAGAGAACTCCATAAGTAAGAGAATTCTAAGAACGTGCCGGTTACTCTTGGAAATTGATAAGAATTCCCCCGCTGGAGGTGACGTAGCGTCAACAAACCGATCGCCATTGAGCAACTAAGCCAACTTTCGGCTCGCGTGTACGCGATAAGTAAGTGGCTCTGCATCCAACGCACTTCAGTCGAACCACTTGCGGGAATTTGGGGGAGTGGGTCCCGTTGCTGATTACGGCGAAATCGGAATGGAGCTCCTAAAGTGCGTCTACACGCGGAACGCTCTTGGCCAAACCGTATCGACTTGTCGGCAGTCAGTTGTATTTGATGGCCGACCAGGCTAGAACGTGATTCCCTCGCTGGAGAAAATAATTAAATTTGATTAGGCAATTTTCGTAATAAAGAACTATACATGCAGTGAGTATTGATAGCCATTTTTCCCATCTGTAATTTAAAATAACATATATTCTAATAACTTTCTTATGAAATACTTTTTGATACCCGATCCTTAGCTGAAAATTAGTGGATGACCAGCAGCTGCTGATTCGAGAAATGCCCATCGATATTTACTGCGAAGCGAGGAACTTGGAACATCGTTTTAGTAAGCGCATTTCATAAATTCCCCGACTCAAATTCCATTGGAGTAGTTGAAACGAAATCTGGAAATTCAAAGTTAAATAGAGCATCGAGAGCATTGCGTGGCACGTTCGGACTTTCGTCGATAAGCCCCTTCCCGATAAGCTTTATCATCTGCACGGAGCCAATTCGATAATCGTAGACCGCGGAGCATAAGTCAATATTCAAAGTGGATCATGGCAGTACAAAGTAAGCTGGCTGAGATAGCCTTGAACTGCTCCTGCTATGAGTACAATCACCCATGGACCTCGAGCTGTGCCTGTGCTGCGGCGGGCATGATGATATCCGAGATTCCTCCCGCGCTGCGCACCTACGCCACTGTTTACGTGGTAAGTAAAAAAGGAGGGAACTTAATGCTAAAAATATAATTATAATTTTGCACCTGCTTCAAGTGCGTTGTATAGCGCGAATAGGGGTGATACGAAGTTTTCAAGTACAAAGGTTATATTTCAAATAGTTATTTATTTTCCAAGATTATAACGAGAATAAAGTTTTTAAAAAATACTATACAAAATTTTCTTTATAAATTTAATATATTAATTTAACAATTTTGTTGTTAACTTCTCCATCTATTTATTATCAATTAACCCATTTTCCCTTCCTAGTTAGCCCTCATCATGCGAGGACGCATTCCATCGCTTAAGGACATTGGACGTACTGTATCTGGAATCCTGCAGTCGACAGCTTTCCTTTCGATGAACGGAGGCCTCTTCATTTTCGCGGTGTGCTATTTGCGTCAGCTGTTGGGTGGATTCCACTTCAGCACAGTGGCGTTTTGGCCCTCATTCCTGTCCAGTTTCGCTTGCCTGGCCTTCGAGCGGCCGGAGCGACGAGCTCCACTGGCCCTGTATGTGGCCAATGTGGGCATCGAGACGCTGTGGAAGATGCTGGAGGCCCGTGGCCTGGTGCGATCTATTCCCAATGGCCAGGTGCTCATCATGGGCGTCAGTGTGACCGCCCTGATGTATCTGTATCGCGCTGGACTGCACAAGACGGTGGCCAAGGACGCGACCTTCAAGGCATTGGGTCTGATTGTGGGCAAGGAGGAGGAGGGACCGCTGAAGACGCCGGTGGTGACCACTTCTCAGAGCTCCCGCCAGGCACCGCTCAACTTCCGCTGCATTACCGCGTACCTGCAGCTCTATGACCGCCTGCTGAAGGCCAAGCATCCCAGTTGTCCACACAAACAGGGCTGCGCTAAATACGCTCTTATAGGAGGACTAAAACCCTTCGTTGGAGGCGTGGGCATATCGGTGGGTCTTAAGCTGCTGCTCAACATTGTCAAGATCTTCCAGCTCAAGATGCAGTGGCGCAAGCAGATCTTCAACAAGGGAAACCTGCAATTGGGTCTGGCACTGGGCATTTTCTCATTCCTTTTCAAGGTGGGTAAAACCATAATCGATTATGGAAAAATCTAAACAGTTTTAAATTTATCTTTTTCATATTATAGTAAAATATTTGCTATTAGAAAGCCATATCTTATCACCTTCCCTTTAATTTTTTAGACGACTTCCTGCGGTCTGCGCCACACCTTTGGATATGACAATGCTCTCTTCGCCATTCCGGCTGGCTTGATTGGATCCGTTGGTCTCCTGCGTTTCCCCAACACCACGGTGGCCTGTTACCTGATGTGGAAGGCCCTTCAGCTGCTTTACAACTGGGGCATCGCAGAGGGCAAATTGCACGAGGTTCCACATTTCGCGATGCTCATGTACGGATTCTTCACGGCCGTGCTCTTCCACTCGGCAATCCTGGAGGCTCGTTCTTTGCGCCCCAGCTACTACAAGTTCCTCATGGGCATCTCTGGCAATCGCATCAGCCGCTTCAATGTGAAACCCTTCGAGGCCTACGGACTGAAGAGCCAGGACCAAATCAACTATGTGATCAAGAAACTGGGCATCGACATGACCTCGCCCTTCCCCCTTTACGCCCTGACTGTCTAGATTGTTATTCCTCCCTTTGTCTGCTGTACAATAAAAAACAAAATGTAATAAAATGTATAACACAACGATGCAGCAAAACTTTAAATTAAATGCGCGACGCAGAATGGCCATTAAGGACTTTTAAGTGAGGAGCCGCAGAGTGGGCCAACATCAATCACAGAGTCAACAAGCCGCCGGCACCCTTAACCCCCCTTCGAAAAAACCCTCTCAGCCCCTGTGCCACTGCCTCACCGCTGTGACAACTCTAGACGGCGGCTCCGCGCTGCTCAATTATTTACATTTATATGTCATATAAATTTATTGCCCACCATAACTCAGCCGCTCCGAGGCGAACTGGGCTGAGCGAAGTTGGGCTGAGCTGAGACCAAGCCGAGATACCCGAAATGCAGCTACAAAATTCACTAAAAATAAAAATAATAATAAAGCACAGAGGCAAATGAATAAAATGTAAATGGGTAAAGGTTTCAGGAAGAACAAAACTGGAAATACCCTGGCATTATTCGCGAATTCTTTAGAACATGAGGAAGCAATACCATTAAAACATTCTAACCGTTTAAAACATTACCTGACATCCGCGAATTCTTTAGAACAAAGGGAACAAAATTTACCACACTGACATTTTTAAAGCTTTCATTCTATACAGCCAAAGATTGATTCATAAGTTAAACACCGCGAATTCTTTAGAAGAAGAGGAAGCCATATTTAAAAGGCAAAATAACAACTTAGAACAGCTACTAAAAATTTAACTAAATTTTTTACTAAAACAAATAATCTAATCTATACAGTGCAGACTTTCCCAGTGCATGCCATCCTTTTCGAGACAATTCCAGATTACCCCAAAACCAGGGTATAATAAGCACTGGCCTAATGATCATCTTGGCCAGCAACGGGAGCGTAACTGGCAAAATGGCAGTGGAACCGAAACCAAGGCGGGCTTAACAAATGAATTATAGGCTCGGGTAAATTTAATGTGCCACTTAGTTATCGGTGGGGGATGAGCAGGGGTCCTGGCTTTTATTTTTATGCGAATCATAATAAGGCACGCCAGCTAAGCGACTTCCTTCCGCTTCGGAGCCTGACCCGTCGCTGTTTGTCTTTGGTGATTTTCATTTTTAAATTGAGTTGAAAATAATGAAAATGCAAATTTGCCGGCCAGCTGGCAGTTGGACACGCTCCTTCGGTGGGGCCAAAACGCCCTGCAATTGCAGGCTCCTTGGCATTTATGAAATTTATATGCATGTCAGTGGGCTTCAGGACTTCAGGACTTCGGGGCAGGAAAAAGGGAAATGGAGGGGTTTTCTAGCCCAGTCGACAGCATGGAAAATACAAATGAAGCCAGTGACAAATCTCATTAATCACAGCGCCGGAAAAGAGGCGGTCGGAAGGGGGCGTGGCTCTGGCTGAGTGGGTGCAGCTGTTGGCGCCTTGAAATCTGGGATTATCAGCTTAGCAGTTGCAGTTGTTTCTGTTGTTTCCGCAGCTCCTACTTGTTGTTCCTCCTCGAGGAGATGGAGCTGCAAAAAGTGCATATAAATTGAATATTATAAATTTTCTTATTTTGCAACTGCTGCTTTCACTTAGCTGCTGCTGCTGCTGTTAGTGCTGCCAAGTTGTAACTTCATTTAAGTCAATCGCTCTTTTCTGTGGCACACAAATTGTAAACAAGGGAATTATGCAAATGAATAAACTCCCGCCCCATGGCAGCGTAATGAAATATTATTGAAGCCTCGGGCACCTCGGTGCGCAAATCGAACAGAAAATGAACTTTCAACTGTCAAAAAAAGGCGAAATGGAGATGGGGGTTGGGTAGGGGCAAAAGGCAGTGCGAACCAAAAGAGAGCAACTTTTCTCTACTTGGCCAAGACTTCGACTTGCCATAAATTTCGTTTTATATTTCTATGAACTGACAAGGTATGTCAACGCAAGATAAGCAACCCCAAGCTGTCCGAATGCTGCCCCAAATAAATGACACTTTTTTGTGCGTCCGTAGAAGAGATGAATTTTTAATTAAAATTTGCAGTTGTGTTGTGCGAAGATTGAATGGGAAATTCTACAATGCCGGACATACTAGAGATGCATAATAAATAAATGAAATTTCTTAAGCTAGGAATGCATTAACCCATTTATGTTTCCTACATAAATTTTTATGAACACGGTATTTTCATAACACGCGCACATTGAATTGTTGGACAATCTAAACTTGAAGGCCTGTATTATCTTGGGGCGATTAGCAATGTTTTTTCAGTGGTTTATCTAGAAAGTCGTGAACTTTTTGGGCCGTCATAAATACAAGAAAATAAATAATAAATAATATTTATTTGTTAGCATGTGTAAACTGCTTTTTGTTTATACTATATTATTTCTCTGACCCTTATTTGTTTGCGTTTTGATATGAGTTTATTTACTTGTTTTAAACCTGCTTGTAAACAAGTTGTTGTTTTTGAAATGAACGTACGTTGTTAAACTAAAAGCGATCACAAAATGGCAAGAATGTTAAACAAATTGTATTAAGATTATACCCGTTTATTTATTAACAATACTTATTATTAAATAAATAATATATATTAAGAGTTTATATCTTGCATTTACAATACTATTATTATAATTAAATTAGTTTAACTAATGTAATTTGTTGTGGTTTAAGCAATTGCTTTGCCTTTAGATTTTGATATGTACATAAATGCTTAGAATCCAGTCCTCAGAAGGCAAACATTCGTATGCTTATGGCCCCCAAACTGCACTCGCCCTCGATTTCGCGCTCTTCCTCCTCGATCTCCCTTAGTCGCACCAGGGGCAGGGGTACGAAAGCCTTTAGGAATTCCAGACCTGCATTGATGAGACCCAGCTGGAGCCAAATTATGGAGAGCCAGATACAGGCAGCACCGTCAAACGGAGACGTCATTTCGCCAACGAGTTTGTGGACCTACTGTGGGATCCGTGGGATCAGGCACGAGCTGGAGCCCCCACAACCCCGTCGAAAACGTGCCGCCTCCAAAGTGATAAGGTGTCGAAACAGTGGGCGATAGCACAGGCATTATCTTTTGAGTCCAAAACCATTACCTTTTGAGTCCCAACATTCTAAAATGTTGCGCAGCATTTGTCGCTGGAAATTCCACTCAAACTGCTCCGTCGAACCTAAGCGGCAGCGTTCCAAAGTTCGTTCGTTTCATATGGGTAACTTTCGTAATGCTTCGGCTTTTGGGGCTCGTGGGGCTTCGCAACAGGATGCGCATTGTGGCAGGACGACGACACATGTGGCCCTCTCCGAGGCAGTTCCACTGCCAGTCGTTCCGCGACTAACTGGGTTAGTGGTACAAGTTCAGTTTGACGCATTCGCCTTATCGATGGTTCCGCATTTCCGCACGTTCCGCGTTCATTCGGCAAGGATATGTGCATCCCTATGGTTGCGCGCATTATCCCTTTGCCAGGCTAACTCTGGACCAACTGAACAGCCAGCGCCCGCCTTTTCCTCAAAGGAAACCGACTTCATCAGCAAAGCGACTCCTTATCCCGCTTTTTCGCGCTTCATTGCGCTCTGCAGCCGCCATTTTCCCGGCACATCCTTAATTGAAACTACATCGTTTACCTACTTGTAAGCCATCCTATCTGCAGTTCCTCTCCTCGGCGGTCTTTGTCCTTATCTCTTTGCCTTTCGGGGCCTTTGTTTGTTTTCCCCCGACATATAGCCACCTTTATCTTCGGTGGGGTTTCGGCACGGAATGCATCATTTGGCGTTGACAGGGGGCACTCCCATCGCTTATTGGCAAAGGCTTCCTGGTATCCATCTCAGTGACGCCTTTGTTCTGTTCATCCTCCTTGCCGGTCCCTCCAACTTTTAGTACCAAAAAACGATTCCTTTGTTATGCCAGCCGCTCGACGACAATTGCACTTGCTGATTGCCCTCATTTCAGACTTGAAATAATATTAAAAACTTTTACTCCGTCTCGTCGTCGTACTGCAGTCTGTCCGTCTCTTTCTCGGCAAAGCTTGCCTCTCTCTCTCTCTGTGGTTCTTTTGTCTTTGTCTTCGCCTATGCCGCCTGCTGCCTGCTGCTTGTTGCAATTGCAGTCGCATGTTGCAGCCCGAGTCGAGGCCCCTATCTTATCCCCATATCCTTATATCCCAATCCCCATCGCCGGGCTTTGATTCCCGAGCTTGTTCTAGTTCTTGTTCTTGTCCTTCTTTTATTTACCACATAAATCACATGCCGGCAGGGACGGAGAGACATTTCTATATCTATCTACTTAAGGTTTTCACTGCCCGACTAGGAGAGCACTTCCTTCCAGAACACTGGGAAATATTTTCGAGAATTTTAAAAATATTAAATTGGGTGCAAAAGAATTTCGATTAAAAAATAAATGTTCATTCTTTTGGGCCGAATAGCTTGGATAGAAATGATATGATATGATTGGGCGGAATGGGATTTGCAATTATAGTACAGTGAGTAGATGATGGGGTATACACTGCAGAACCTAAATAATATTAAGTTATGAATATTCATTTTTTACAATAATTATAAAAAAATAAACATAAAAACCTTTGAAACTGTACCTGCTCTTTGCATTCTTTACTTTTCTTAATTATTCATTTTTATTTTATTTATTTGTTTTAATTTCCCGATGATGTTCCTTTTGATTAACATTGGTCACTTTAATTTAGTTCCCTTAGTTAATTCCCTTTCTGTTCTTTATCCTCAGTGCAGTGTTTGTTCTGCTTTCATCCCAGCTGGCGCTGCTTATCTCCTGTTCTCGACTTCGTCGTGGTCTCAGTGTGGCCGAGTGCTTTTTGGATTGTTAGTTGCTATTTTTACGATTGCCCATTGTCTGGCCGGAGTTCTAAGTTCCTCCTCGGCGTCCTTCTTCTCAGCATCCCCATATCTGTGAGTTCCTCTCTGCTGCTTTTCGGGATGCGATAGGACACGTATCCGCTTTTGGCGATTTCTTGGCAATTGCAGTTGTTGTAACTGAGCAATGCTCGTGCGTGGGTGGAAGCTGGCTGGCTTTTTGTCGGGTAATTGATGATTTACAACTTATTTACGCTTCGATTGTGCAATAATTGAAAATTGCTCTAAATTCATTTGGGCATTCCTTGGGAAATATCCTCGCTGTTTTGCTATTGGCAACGGAAATGCCAATTGGCTTTGCAAGAAATGGGGGAAACCAAAGCAGCCAACTTTGGGAAATTTAATACAGCTGAGCGGCGAAAGTTATTTTTATAACATTGCTATTAATGGCACTTGGGAAATTTAAGTTAATGTTAAAAGTACGACTAATAAATAAAATTAAAATTTAAATTTAATAACTAATAATAAATTTATAATACGCATATAAAATTCAACCATCCACTAATAGGTTTATTGCTTTAAAACTTACTTGTTTAAAATATATATAAAAGCTTTCCCTGTCTTTTCTTATTATAGAAACCTAAAAGCCTTTTGGCAGGGTATAATTAATCTAGCTGCCGCATATTAAGCTTCCTAAAACACATGGCTGCCGACGCCCCGATATGCGGCGTGGAAAATGGGAAATGCAAAAGACTAGCGAGCGGATTAGGCCGCTGCAGCACAAAGGAAGCTGCAGCTGCAGCAGCTGCGGTAAAAACGTTCAACTCTGCGCTGCCTGGCAAGCGGACAAAAGCGAAATGTTGATCCTGGGGCGGACAGAAAGACAGAGAGAGAGCCAGGAGTTGGGTGGGGGCATGCAAATCTTGGCATTGAGCCACAACCACCGACTCACACTCACACACACACAGTGAAATAGGGGATGCAACGATCCTGGCCAGCACTGCCTTTAAATTCAATTTGAAGCAAATGAGGCAGCAGCTCAGGGAAATTTCGCAGGGCTGCCGCTTTAACGGCTTTCGACTTGACTGCTGCTGCTGCTGCTGCCAGCAAATGTGGCTATAATTTGCGGCAACATATGCCACAGCTTGGGGCAGCCGGCTACTGGCGACGACTGGTAACTGGCAACTGCCACTCCGCACGCCCAATTGGCTGCAAAATGGGCGCCCGCACAAGGAATCGTAAATTAATTGCAGCCTCAAAGTTTCTTTGTTGCACTTTAAGCTCCGCTACGGACGGCCTCCAATTATGTCATTAGACAAGGTCCAGATGGGCAGCCATAAATTGCCACGGGGGCAACCATAAACAACAGTCAGGCAGGCGGGCAGGTAGGTAGGTACTAAGGTAGGAAAGTCCGACAAATGTCGGCCCGACATGAAAATGTTGACAAATTTTTCCTTCAAAGGCCGTCCCATGCGGCGTATACGCAACGTTGACAAACTCTGCTGCAATTCGTCGCCCAGGGAAGCCCCATAAATCCACCCAACTGCACTCCGTTTTTGTTTTCTAGCCCAACCCACCCCGATCCGCATCTGAATCAATTAATTTGCCCGATACGGATGAACCCTGCTAAATTAAACTTCTGGCGCAGTGTGTCCTTGCCATCCGAAGGGCTGGCTTATTAATGGGCGGAAAATATAAAATCCTGGCCACATTAATTTGAAAATTTGAGAAATTTTGTGAAAAAATTCGTTTTTATTAAACTAAGCTGGCTAAACCTTTTATGGCCGAAATGCACATTTAAACAAGCTTTTAAATTGCTTTGCTTGAATAATATATGAAAAACGAATTTATAAAAGTGCGGAATTCTATCGCTTCACGGCACGCGCGTGTAATATGGCCATGTTAATTGAGTTTTTCATAAAAATTTAATTTAAATATAGAAAAACGAACTTGGCCAAACTAGAGATTATATATTTTAGATATGTGGAGAGTGAAAATAATAAAATTTATTTATTTTGAGAGTGCTACGCAAACTTTACTTATTACCAAAATAGCGGGAATGACAATTTCCACTCTCTTAAAGCTGACTGTAAACTAAACTTTTGGGAAGAGCGTCGCTCGGGGGTATTTTTTAATGCCCGTTCCTTCCCGGTCAATTCATATGTCGCCATGGGGCAAAAAAACACACTCCGGGACACTCCTCGTGCGGTCAAAAATAATGCTCGCGGCTCATGCGGCGTGGAGCGAAATGGCTGTGGTGAAAACAGCGGCACTAACAGATGCATTAGCTGCAGAACGGTCAGAACCAGGCTAAAACCAGGCCAGAATGCCATCGGATAGGGACCAGAACCGGACCGAAGCTCGGCACATGGCTATTAGATTACGATGCGGCCATTGAGCAAGCAGCTGTCGCCGTCGACCGATGGCAACTTTTGCGCCTTGGCCGGGCTAAAACTCCACGCACGATTGATCCCCGAATGCGAATGCGAAGGGGGGGAATACGAAACCCAATCCGTATCCGGATACGGATGGCATTCCCCATAGCTGCTCATGATATGTGAGTTAGTGGCCGCAGTCCCGTTCCACTTGGAATTTCCGCTCCGGTGATTATAGTTGCGCTCCATTTTGAATGCAATAAAGTCGCGGACCGAAATTAACCCAGTTTCTGGATGACTTCGCCTGGACATCACCATCTGCACCGGGCATTTGCATCAATCTGTTCGCGCTGTCCTTTCAGTTGACTTCATTTCAGAAGCAGAACACAAGTACCTCATGGCGTATACACGATATTCATACTCAATTCCTAACGCTCAACTGATTGTAAGTGGGTTTTTGGCATGCGATTGGGTTTAGGATTGGGGTGGCACTAAACGTTGATTCCACTCGACATCAAATGAAACGGAATCGTTTGCCATGCTGGACGTAATTAAATGTTGCACTTCCGTCCATGGCGGAAGTGGAGGCGACGATTTACGGCTTAAACAACGGCTAAGTGCAGCAATCATTGTCGGCCAGCAACAGGAACTGAACGGATCTAAAAAAAATCTATAAAAAAAGGCAGCCAAAACGGGTGAAAACACAGCAAATTAAAATTGTCGCACACTTGGCCAAACATTTGTCCAGCTCTTATCAATTGCTCGAGTCGGCGTCGCCGTCATCGCA